ATCAAGCCAATTTTGAATCCAGTTAGCTAGCTCTCCCTGAATCCCATGTGACCTAACCTTCGTGACCAGCCTGCCATGCGGGACCGTATCAAAGGCCTTACTAAAGTCCACATGGACAACATCCACTGCCCTACCCTCATCTATTCTCTTGGTTACCTCTTCGAAAAACTCGCACAAGGTTTGTCAGACGTGATTTCCTGAGTACAAATCCATGCTAAATATCCAAACGTTGGTTGATCCTGTCTCTCAGTATCCTCTCCAATAACTTACCTACCACTGATGTCTAGCTCACTGGCCTGTAGTTCCCTGGCTGGTCTTTGCTACTAAAGTGACTATTCACTTTCAGTGGGTGGTACTCCCAATTAGTGATATACATAGAAACATAAAAGAGCAGGAGCAGACCATTCAGCCCTTGCTCCACTATGATAGAGTTATAGACATGCATAGCACGGAAACAGACCCTTCAGTCCAACTCATCCATGCCGACCAGATATCCTAAACTGATCTATTCCCAATCGCCAGCATTTGATCCATACCCCTCTAAACCCTTCCCATTCATATACCCATCCAGATCTCTTTTAAATCTTCTACCTCAACACCATATTCCCACACTATCCCCATGTGCCTCAATGACATTAGTAATTAGAAACCTATCAGTTTCTGTTTTGAACTTCGTCAATGACTGAGCTTCTACAGCCCTCTGAGATAAAAATGTTTACAGACTCTCAACCTCAGTGAAGTTTCTACTCATCTCAGTTCTAAACAGCATGCCTTTTATGGGATGGGAACCTATGTAAGGAGTCCGAGGAGGAGGTAGTGAGGACAAAAACAATAAGTAGAAAAGGGAATAAGAAAAGTGATAGGCAGAGAAACCAAGCATAAATTTCAAACAGGGCTATTGCGAAAAATAAGAGCAACACAAACAATTTTAAGACGACAAGCCTAAAGGCTTTATGCCTTAATGCGTGGAGCATTTACAATAAAGTGGATAAACTAATTGAGCAGATAGAAGTTAATTGGTACAATGTAATTGGGATTGCAAAGACATGGCTGCAGGGTGACCAGGGATGGGAATGGAATGTCCCAGGGTATTCAGTATTTAGGAAGGACAGGCAAAAAGGAAAAGGTGATGGAGTGGCATTGCTGGTTAAAGAGGAAATTAACACAATAGTGAGAAAGGATATTAGCTGTAACATTGTGGAGTCTTTTTGAGTAGGGTTGAGAAATACCAAGGTGCAAAAAAAATTTGCATGTGTTATATAAAGACCCCCAAACTGCAGTGATGTTGGGAATGGCATTAAACAGGAAATTAGAGATGCATATGTTAAGGGAATATCAGTGATCATGGGTGATTTTAATCTGCACAGGGACTGGGCAAATCAAATTAGCCACAATGCCGCAGAGGAATTTCTGGAATGTATATGGGGGATGGTTTTCTTGACCAATATGTGGAGAAACCAACTAGATAGCAGGCCATCTTAGACTGGGTGCTGTGTAATGAGAAGGGAATTGTTGCCAATCCAGCTGTCCGAAATCCCTTGGGGATCAGCGATCATAACATGATACAAATTTTTTCTCAAGATGGAAAGTGAGGTAGTTGATTCAGATTCAATGCTGCTGAATCTTAAAGGAAACTATGAAGATATGAGGTTTGCCTTGACAGACGAGGGAGAGTTACTTAAAGGGACGATAGTGGGTAAGCAATGGCAAACATTCAAGGAATGCATGGGGGAGCTGCAACAACTGTTTATTCCCATCTGGCACAAAAGCAAAATGGGTCAAAAGAGCCAATCCATGACTTACAAAAGGAAATTAGAGACTGTATCCAATCCAAGGAAGAAACATACAGATTGACCAAGAAAAATTATATGTCTGAGAATTGTGAGCAGTTTAAAATTCTGCAAAGGAGGACCAAGAGATTGATTATTAAAGGGGAAAATAGATTATGAAAGTAAGCTTGCAGGGAACATAAAGACTGATGCTAAGAGTTTCTATAGGTACATGAAGAGAAAGAAACTGGTAAAGACAAATGTAGGTCCCCTACAGACAGAAATGGGGGAATGTATAATAGTGGACAAAGAAATGGCTGAGCAACTGAATACATATTTGATTCTGTCTTCACAAAACAGGACACAAATCAGATACCAGAAATGTTGGAGAATGCAAGATTTAGTGAGAGGAAAGAATTGATGGAGATTAATATTAGTGGAGAAATCGTCCTGAGAAAATTGACAGGATTGAAGGTGGATAAATTCCCGGGGCCTGATAATCTACATCCCAGAGGATTTAAGGAAGTGGCTCTAGAAATAGTGGATGCATTGGTGGTCATCTTCCAGGATTCTATAGATTCTGGAACAGTCCCTGCAGATTGGAGGGTAGCTAATGTCACTCCAATATTCAAAAGGGGATGTAGAGAGAAAATAGAGAATTATAATCCAGTGAGCCCAACAGTGGAAGTGGGGAAAATTCTCAAATCCATTATCAAGGACTTTCAGAGCATATAGAAAGCAGTGGCAGGTTCAGACAGTCAGCATGGATTTATGAAGGCAAAGTCACGTTTGACAAATCTGTTGGAATTCTACGAAGATGTAACTAGCAGAGTTGACAAGGGGGAGCTGTCGATATGGTATATTTGGGCGCTCAGAAAGCATTTGACAAAGTTCCGCAAAAGAGATTAATGTGCAAGATTAAACCGCATGGATTTGTGGGGAGTGTACTGAGATGGATAGAAAACTGGTTGGCAGAGAGGAAACAAATAGTAGCAATTAATGGGTCCTTTTCAAATTGGCAGGCAGTAACTAGTGGGATGCCACAGGGATCAGTGCTGGGACCCCAGCAGTTTTTGTTCCCTAAATCTAATATCTCAAAGTTTGCAGCTGATATCAAGTTGGGTGGGAGGGTGAACTGTGACGAGGATGCAGAGATCCCTCAGCATGATCTCGACAGGTTG